TTTTTTTTTTGGGTAGCCAATGTCCAAGTTGCCCATCCCTGTCTACTGTGTGTGTGGATTCAAGATAGATTTTAAATGTTCTTTTTGACAATGAATATTAAGCAATTCCTCTTGAATGTGTCATTCCCAGTATAGTATACCATATGATTGTCCAATTCAAAATGGTCAATACCATTCCATGTCAGCTTACTAATGCCTGAATTATCAGTCTTTATGTGTCCCATTTATTTATTTTTTTTTTCATTTAATTTTTGACAGCTTCCAGTTTTCCAAGATTCACACTTCATACATTCCATGGTTATTAATGGATATTTGTAACTGTTTCTTCTCTTTTTGAGTTGTACCCCACCAGCAAATGATGGTCCCAAAGCTTTACTCCATTCTCATCATTATGGTCTAGTTTAAGGAGGTTGCTTTTCCCCAGTCATATTCTGAATGCCTTCAAACCTCTGGACAACATCTTCTGGCACTAGATCAGGCAAAGTTCTGTTGCTATTCATAATGTTTTCATTTTCTTGTAATATACCTTACAATGTTCTCCTGTCATTCATAAAGTTTTCAGTGTCTTAGCATTCAGTAGTTCCCTTCTCCTTCCTAGTCTGTCTTAGTCTGAAAGCTCAGCTGAAATCCTACATCATGGTAACCCTGCTGGTATTTAAAACACAAGTGGTATAATTTCTAGCATCACAGCAACACACAAGTCACCACAGTATGACAAACTGCAGGAGAGTGGTGGTTGAAACTGACCTTATGGTCCAGTGCTTTATCATACAGCATCACGCCAGGACTCCCTCAAGGTTGGTTTGAACTGCAAGATCAGTGGTTCAAACTCACCAGCCACTCTTTGGAAACTGTGTACAGGGTCACTGTAAGTCAGAATCAACTCCATGGTATTTAATAACAACAACAACCAAATACATATAATCATATTATACTCATATAATTTGTCATATTTATTTTGTCTCTCTCCACAAACACTGAAAAGGAGCATCAACAAGTTGGAGGGGAAAAATGCAATGGAAAGATAAGGGAATTTTCCCACAAACTTTTTAAGCTTCCTCATACATATTATTTTATATTGTTGTTAAGTGCCTTTGAGTCGGTTCCGACTAATAGTGACCCTGTATAAGATTTCTGGGGAGCAGATGGTGGGCTTGAACCTTCTAATTTGCAGTGCTGTGGTAATCCTACAGTGCAACACCAGGAGTCCATATATACTCCTTTAACTATCACACCAACTTGTGAGGTTGGTACAATTTTTATAGGTGTTTTTACCTATAAAATCCCTATTTTATAGGTAAGGAACTTGAGGTGCAGAAGTGTGAGTCACTTTCTTAAGGTTATACAGGGAGATCATGATAGGTAGTTAGCTAGATTTATACACCGCATCAAGTAACCACCTTAAATACAATATAGTAAACATTGCCCGATTCTGTGTCATACTTCACCCAACCTTATATCTTAGTACAGCAATTGATCTCTCTTGATGGTATGTCCAAAGTGAGTGAGTCAGGCAGCATTGAAGGAACAAGAAAGCTAGAACTTTCTTCCTAGTCTGTCTTAGTCTAGAAGCTTCACTGCAACATATTCACCATGGGTGACCCTGCTGGTATTTGAAATATTAGTGGCATTGCTCCAGCATCGTAGCAACACCAAGCCACTACAGTGTGACACACTGACAGACGAATGAATGAATGGTGGAGATCAGATAGAGCTGGGATTTAAACACAGATTGGTATCGTGGTGTCAAGCTGTATGGCACACTTCTAGACTTTTAGAGTGAGTTCCAAGACTTTTTAGGCAATGAAAGGGCAGATTAGATGCTGGACCACTGAATTTTTCTGGGTCCTCCTCTCAATCATAGAGCCTAGTTGGCAGTGCTTGGAAGCAAATGGCTCATGTGGTCCTTCTTTCTGTTGCAGCTTTTGTTCCATTGCTTGCACTATCCTTTCCTAGCCAGGCACAGCTGGTCTCAGAGCTCGCGTGCTGGGCCTCTTTTGTTGTATTCCTTGGCTGGCAGACTCACCTAGGAAGATAAGAGGACCCTTTGCTCATTCTGTTTTGTCTTTTCTCCCCAGGTACCATATCAGTGAACAGCAGGCGCACACCATTCACGGCTAGTGGGGAGAGTGAAATCCTGGACCTGGAGGGAGACATGTACCTGGGTGGGCTCCCGGAAAACCGAGCTGGCCTTATCCTCCCCACGGAGCTCTGGACCGCCATGCTCAACTATGGCTATGTGGGCTGCATTCGTGACTTGTTCATCGATGGGCGTAGCAAGAACATCCGACAGCTGGCCGAGATGCAGAATGCGGCAGGAGTCAAATCCTCCTGTTCCCGAATGAGTGCCAAGCAGTGTGACAGCTACCCCTGCAAGAATAATGCTGTGTGCAAAGATGGCTGGAACCGCTTCATCTGCGACTGCACAGGCACCGGTTACTGGGGGAGAACTTGTGAAAGGGGTGAGTCCTGGCCTCATGGCATGCTAGAAGACCGACTGGCAATGCGTACGGTGATTATGTTTTTAGACAGCTCAAATCTTTGCACCTACCCAGACTGCTTTTCTTTAGAGAAAAGTTTTCTTGGGCTCACGACCATACTGTCCTTTCTGGTTCTGAATTATTCAATTTGGTTGGTTCAAGTTGCATTGCAGGAAGGCAAACTGAATATTTAGAATAAATACTACCATGATCATGATATGATATTCTTTTTGAGTAAGTATCCGTCATATTCTGTTTAGAAATGGCCACTGATTCCTTTTTGGGATTCTGGGTGGGCTAACCAATGGGCAGCCTCATTGATTCATTTAACACAATGTTTCTAGTGCTTTTTGCTTGCCATCTATTAGTTTTAGGAAGCCTAGCCCTGTCCATAGGGAGCTCTGGTAGCGTAGTGGTTACGAATCGGGCTGCGAACCTTAAGGTCAGCGGTTCGAAACTACCAGCTGCTCCGTGGGAGAAAGATGAGGCTTTCTACTCCCGTAAAGATTTACACCCTCGGAAACCCTGTACAGGGTCGCTATGGGTCGGAACCGACTCGACGGCACTTAACAACAACAACAACAAGCCCTGTCCATAGAGTTTGCTTCCTAGTGGAATATTTGTTCACTAAATAAATACAAACGTGGGGTGTTTAATAAGCAGTAGTGTAATGTATTATTTAAGAGCATTAACTCAGCGACCAGACTGGATAAGAAAGCTAGTCCTCATGGAGTAATGTGAATGCCATCACATCAGTATCCTTGAGACTTTACTTCCTCACATGCTAAATGGGGATAATCAGGAAATAACCGCAAGAATATAATAAGGAATACATGAGCTAATAGGCTGGTCTATGGTGAGCATTTACTATATACTGAAATCTCTGGGTGGTTCAGATGGCTAGTGCACTTTACTGTTCACTGAAAGACCAGAAGTTTGAGTCCATCCAGGGGCTGCTCAGAAGAAAGGCCTGACGATCAATTTCAGTTGAGGAACTAAGCAGTATCCACAGTGGACTGGAGTGTGCAGTTAGGTGAAGAAAGGGTAGAGAGATGGCTGAAGAGGTGGGGACCAACCTGTGGGGAATGGCCCTTTAGAACAGGCCAGAATGCTGATGAAATCACTTTACATTTACCACTTTAGCATCTTATATTTATACTGAATTTAAAGTTTGGGCAAATATCAAAGAAAAAGGTAAGCAAAGTGACCCAATCAAGAGATGGAGTTGCTAGTCTTAAGAGTTATGTAAGGTTTGAGGCTTGGTCTATTTTTATACATGTCAAACAGACCGAATCAAACTGGTTGTTTATGAGTTGTCAATTCTTTTTTACAGTAGGATAAGTTACATTGTTGTCAGGGGTTTTCTGGGTATGTAGCTCTAGCATAGGCTTTGAGGCTACTCTGCCTGTAACAGGTACAGTTCCTGCCCTCAAGAAGCTTATTATTCATTCAGCTGAGAAGTTGAGCTCTCTACACTGGAAGCAGTGATAGGAAGACACAAGATGGCAGCATGGGCTCTGTTGGTGAGCCACACTAGGAGAACAAGGAAATTTAGAGAACAGAAGAGTTTCTTGAGGAGAGATATATAGGGTCTTATCCCTAGAGGCCACCTGTGTCCAGAATGTTCCAGTTTCAGAATCCTGGGGCTGGGGAGTGTCCAGGGCCAGGCATGAAGCAGACACTGGATGGCCAGCCAGAATGTGTTTTCAAGGAGTAGTGTTTTTGAGGTCATCTGTTTTACGAGTTAAGGTGTATTTCAAAAGAACTGGAACCTTCTTTAAACCAGACCAAGCATAGGAGGAAGATAGTTTTCTTGAAGTGTATGGAATTCAAATTCAGACACGCTGATTTTTCAAAGAAGCAACAACCAGAGCATGGACTAACATAACAAGGCAACCAGCTAGACCAGAAAGAGATCTCATGAGACTGGTCCGTCCGTCATTTCCTGGACTCTTTCCAGATCTCTGTAGAGTAGTAGCCTACAGTTTGGAAAGATAGAAAGGTCATTTGACCTCTGAGATACCTGAGGCAGCTTTGGTGTAAGCTAAGGTATTTCATATCTTCTGCTCTCTGCAAAGTCAGTGTATGAACCAAAGGTCACTTCAAATACCTCACTTCTTCTTTGTGGGTCTCTTTCCAACTCAAGGACCTTGTGGTTGCTGGAGACTGGCAGCAGTTCTTGTAGACAGCTGTGCAACGTGTCTCTGAGCTAACCTATTCCAAGGACATATCAATGGGAGTTGGTCCAAGATTTGCCAAGTACAATGAAAGTCACTGCAGCTTTTACATTGTCACTTCTGACTAGTCATTAAAAGGCAGCTGATTGGGGATATATGAGGGACAATTATTCCTGATACAGTGTAGCCAAGAGCCATCCATTCTGGACCAAATGAGAAGGAGCCTAGCAAATTTAAGACATTTGATCTGCACATCGCTCAAATCCCAGACGGTTCAGCTGATTGTTTTGTTCCCCTGCTAATTGTTTTTTTGCCCCTGTATTGTTCCTGACATCATGTTCAGAATGAATCAGTGGAGTGTAAAAATGATAGGACTCTACTCTGCTAGTGAAGGGAATAGAGCCTCCCAATGACGTTGGTTTTCTTTATTGAAAATGACTCCTTAGTGTAGACACTTTTGGCTATTTCTTATTCCTTTTTTCATACCTGCAGCACACATTTATTGAGGTCCTGATATGTACCGGGAAGTCCTGGTGTGGCACTGCAGGATAAGCACTGAGCTGTGAACCACAAGGTCAGAAGTTCAAATCTACCAGCTGCTCCAGGGTTGCTGCTATGAGTCAGAACTGATTTGATGGCACTTAACAACAAGAATGTGTATCAGGCACTGTGTTAGGTGCTAGGACTACAAAAAGTACAACACAACCTCTATTTTTGATCAATTTATAGTCCTCCAGGAGTCCAAAGGGAAATGGGACATGTACTAAGGTATGCCAAATGTTATGCTAGATGTCTCTAGAGGAACAAAGGTACAAAAAGGTAGGAATGGTCTCTTCTTTGTGTTGCAGTGATGGTTGGGGGGAGATGCCAGGTTTCTTGGATATTTTTGGCTCCTACTTTTAACAGCACAGGACTGCTAACCACAAGGTCGGTGGTTCAAACCTACCACCTGCTCTTCAGAAACCCTATACAGGATCACTATGAGTCAGAACTGACTCAAGGGTACGTAACAACAACTTTTAATAAAACTATGGTCTTTATCTACTCTCTGATCCTTAGTATTCACTGTAGACACTTCTGAATGCTGGTTAAAGAAAGGTGTATGAGTGCTTTTATCTGCTTTGGATTAAGGAGTGCTGCTCTACCCATTATAACATCAACCTGGGGACTCAGTTTACCATTCTGTCTCTCTCTCTCTTATTTACTTATTTTTTTACTAGAAGTATTAGCTCAAAACTTGGACTTGATGATTTGTATTAAATGTGAAAAGCCAAAGACAATTCCTAAGGCTATGTGTTCATCTTGCCCCAATTTTGCCCTATCCTTAGGGTTCATAGTGGGGTGGGTCCTTTGATACTGTTAGCTCTACAACAAGAATGGTAGTGTTAGAAAGCGGCAAGTGTTTACATAAAATGGAGAAAGGTGGGATGCTGAAAACTCATGTTCAGAGCAAAAGTGTAGTTGTGGAAGGCCCAGGTCACTAGACCCAAAGTCCAAGGATCCCAAATAAAGTAAATAAATAGGTCAGTCAAAGGGAAGGTTCCCATTGTTTGGAGTTGTCTGTCAAAAATATATTTTATTATAAAATTTTTTAGTAAAATCTTATTATAAAATTAATTTATTATTAATAAAAGAAAGGGAACCAGGAAACACATGAGTATATGAGACTGTTGTTGTTAAGTGCTGTCTAGTTAGTTCCTACTCATAGCGATCCTATATAGGGTTTCCAAGGAGCAACTGGTGAGTTCAAACCACAAACCTTGTGCTTCAAAATCATTTTTACGGGCATCTTTCTCTGATAGTAAAAATGGATGACTTCTAACCTCTCAGAAGTGCTTCAACTGTCTGTGGAGATGAGCAACTGTAAACCTTAATATCTGATAAGACTTGATATAGTATATTTATACTTTTTCAACATGATCTGTTGCTGTATTAAGAAGATGTAGATTCTGTACCCATCTCAATTGTTATTCTCTATTTTTGTCTGTGATTTATAGTGATGTAGAAAACATACCTATGATCTAAAAAGCAAAGGCCTGTTATAACTGCTAACTGCCATTCACTTTGGCTTAAATGGAAAACCAGCTGTTACCCTGTGAGGTCTTGTACAGAGGAGAACATTAGAATCTGTTTTTAATCTGCTATGGAGCTCTTTCTTATTAAGAAGATATGATCAGTTGACCTGGGACAACACAAGCAGCTTTTTCTTGTCAATGTAGCCAAATTGTTTAATTTCTTTGGTGAGATTCAATTGCCAGTAAAGCAAGGCTGAATACTTGATTTATTTGTGGACCATTTAGCTTCAGTTTGATACCACTATGGATTCTATTCTCTTCCCTGGATTTTTTTTTTTTTTTTCTAGGAATAGGCTGAATTTTTTTTTTTTAAGCAAGAATGTAAGGTTCTTGCACAAGTATAAGGTTCAGAATAAGTATATCCCAATAACAAGAAAAATCACATACAATGTGGTGCTTAGAAGCAGGATTGTCTGATGGTTAATGATATTATTTTTAGGGTTAGATGTTAGATGACCCTTGAATCCAGTCTTGGTTCTGCCACATACTATCTAAATGATGTAAAACCAGCACTTAAGTCTTCTTATTTCATTTTCCTGTATGTAAAATGGGGATGTAGCACTGCAGGATAATGCACTGGACCACAAGGCTGATTTAAACTGCAAGGTCAGTGGCTCAAACTCACCAGCTGCTCCTTGGAAACCCAAATCATAGGATTGCTCTGAATTTGAACCAACTGGACAGCATTTCACAACAACAACAATCCCTACTAATGCTGTTTCCTTTGGCT